TAGACAAATGGGAAATGAACACACTTGGTTGACGTGGGGAGGGCTGCCCCTGACTTCTACTGATCGGCTGCGTCTGGTTTGAAGGAAAAGCGGCTGCAGGAGGAACCACGTTTCACCTGGAATTGATAAGCGTGTCGCGTGATCCAGGGGATTCGGGCAAGATGGAAACTGGTTCCATTTGGGGCAACTGTCTGGGGCATCTGGGTCACTGATAGCCAGCTGCCTGCCACCTTGCCTGTCTGAGTGCCAGGCAAAGCACATTTTCCTATGACAAGGGAGGCAAACGTTCAGAAGGCCAGGACATCAGAAGAGAATCCTGAGTGGCCAGGAGTGTGGTTTCATTTGCTTCTGCTCCACACTTCCTGGGCCCCAGCTCTGGGGACACAGACAAGAGGAAGATGTGGCCCCTGCCTGCGCCCCACTCTCCCTGCTTACTGGGGGGGACAAGCTCCGGGAGAGGTTGAAGCACCGTGACCGGAATTATATTTATTTTTTTGTTTGTTTGGTATACGACGGGTATTTTAATGGAAGTATGAGGAGCACATGAGCTCCATGGGGTCAGGGATTTGGGCCATAAGAAATGTCTTAGGTTGTTGTCCACCCAGATTTGGGGGTTGTTTGTTACTCAGCATCACTGCAGCCAAAGCTCACTAATAAATGATATTGTTGCAGACCAGAGCCTGGCCCTTACTTAGCGGTGAATACATATTTACGGTCACACCTTGGTACTTGTCAGCTTCAGAACTCATTAGACCTTGTACTCATTGCATTTTGATGAGAAAACAAGGTGCTTGTTTGGGACTCGTCGCACTTGCTAGAACTTGTAGGAGTCACGCCGCCGCCCAGCAAGAGAAAATGCTTCATCGTCTGGTGCCCATCGGTTTCAGCACCTGTCACCAGTCCCGGAACAAGTTAACGACAAGCACTGGGGTACCACTGCATTTTGCAGGCTCAGGCTCTGGAGTAATGCTGCAGCCCTCGTCCGGGGGCACAGGGAAGTGGTGGGGGTTTAGAGCTGCCATTTCGTTCCTCCCCTCGAGCACTTCCCAGCAGCTCCCAATAGACAGGAATTGGAGGTAGAGGAGCCTTGGCGGGGTGTCTCCCATGGTCATATAGATGAGGAGACTGAGGCCAGTGGCGGTGAACGGCTTTCCTGAAGGCACACTGCATGGTGGGGGCAGAGCAGAGGAAGGGTGTGGCGCTCCTGATCCTCAGGATGGGGCCTGGTGCCCTGTACTCCTGCAGGAGGACTTCCTGGAGGAGGCATTTCTGTCCCGTAGCTCCACACACAGGCAGCAGCGCTAGGTGTCTCATCCCAGCCCTGCTGTGTGTGTGGAAGGGGGTGGTGCCCAGGAGACACCAAGGCCTGGGTGAACCAGGCAGCGGGAAGAGCTGGTGCCTGCAGTGCTTGTCCTCACGTCTCCTAGCAGCTCAGGCTGCACAAACCCCCAGGCCTTTCCTGGGACTGAACCTGGGCTTGGTACAAACCCACCCTCATCTATTCTCAACAATCAGAGGCATCTTGTTCAAACTAAGGCAGACCAGGTCGGTCTGGCTCTAACCTGCCAATGGCTCCCATCTCACTGAGAGTTAAAGTCAAAGTCTCCAGCCCCCAATCTACCACTGCCCTTCACAGCACTTACCCAGCTCCAGCCTCACAGTCCCCTGGACTTTGCTCACGCACTCCAGGCTCGGTCCAGCCTCAGGGAGCACTCGCTGCTCCCTCTGAAGTGCTCTCTCCCAGCCATGGGCATGGATAGCGCCCCCTCCTCTTCCCCACCTACACTCAGGAGTTACTTCTGGATCACCCCTCCCCCTCCCCAAGTCCCCTTCCTACTTACTTTTCCCCTTAGCACTTTTTACCACTTACACCGTGTCTTTCAGTTGGTTATCTCACTCACATCCCGGCATGACCCTAATTCCATAACGGAAAGGATTTCCTTGTAGTTCACTACCGTATTCCGGTAGTGAATAACTCCGGCACCCAGGACTGTGGACCGCACACAGCGAGTGCTCGGTCAGCATTGTTGACAGAACAGATGGAAGAGGAGGAGGGAAGCAGGAAACAGACAGACAGGCAGACAGGCAGACAGGCAGACAGGCAGACAGAAAATGTTAACGAGCAGCAGGCAGGCTCCATCAGGGAGGCACTGCGACCTGACGGCAGGGGTTAAGAGCAGCAGCTCAGAGGCCAGCAGGCCCGGGGTGCATCCTGACCCTACCACTCACTGGCTCAGCCACCTGGAACAAGCCGCGTCTCCTCTCTGAGCTTCAGTTTTCTTCTCTGTAGAGTGGTGATCATAGCAATACTTGGCACTCCTAGTCACTATGAGGCTCAGAGAACCTGTGACGGGAAAGCACTGTCCCAGGGCCATGCTCTCTACAAATGCCAGCTACTATTCTTATTAACAGAGGTGCCAGTTATGGACCAGGCTCTGTGCTGAGCAACTGGGGATTTAGTGGGGACTGCAGACACAGTTGCTGCTTTCAAACAGCCTGTGGTCAAGGTGGATACCTAACTAGCCAGGCCGGTAAAGATTATTAGAATATAACCAGATAAGAGCCGTGACAAAGGGAAGTCCAGGGGCCAGGAGAAACCAGAGGTTAAAAGTCACCCCTCTCCAAGAAAATCAGGGTGGTCTACTAGGAAGAGGTGGCATGTGAGCTAAGGGCCAAAGCACACACAGGAAACAGCCAGGACGTATAAAGTGGGAAGGAAAACATCCAGACAGACAGAGTATCTGACCTCATGAAAGGCCAAGAGACCTCTCAATAGCTGCATGCAGCACAAAAATTATTGTCCTCATTTTACAGATCCTAACCCTGACCTCAGAGAGGTGAAACCATTTCCTGAAGTCACACAAGCAAGGAAGTGGCAGGATTGTGATTTGAACGGAGGGCATTCTCATTACAGAATCTGAGAAATGCCGGGGAGAGAGAGTGAGCACCAAGAAGAACCCTGCCTCCCTTCCGGGGCTGAGTACAGACCTAAAGGGGTGGTGGGTGGGAAGGGCCACAGCCCCCTACCTCTGCCCCCACTAAGGGACTCCCAAAGCCCCACCCAGCTGAGTGGACGGTACCTCCATCAGGTCTATAAGCCACAGCAGCCGTTCCTAGGGAGTAGGGTGGGCAAAAGGCAAAAAGAAAAATACATCAAATAAATATTAGGGATAGGGTGGGCATAGCAAAACCCCCAAACACATGCATGCTTGCACATACATGCATGCTTGCATACGCACGAGCACACACACATGCAGAGGCAACATAAACACAATTCTCTTTTCTCTGTACTGTGAATGCTTTGGGCAGAGATAATGAAGGGATGGGGTGAGGGCCCGGGGGAGGCCCTATTGCTACAACCAGCACTCCTTCCCTCTGACTGTGTCTGTGAAGGAAACCAGGAGTCCCCGCTGCCCTGCAGAAATGACACACGTCCCGGAGAACGGCCTTCAGGAAATGGTCGTTCACGGTGGGGCAACCCTAGGACTTTCCAGCAGGTGGGCTGGGGTCATTATTCCCATTCCGCAGATGTAAAAACTGAGGCTCGAGAGATGACTTGTCCGAGGTCACATCTGCTCATGAAAGGCAGAGCCCGAAGAAGGTGGACCCTATTCAGAAGACTTGGTCAGAGAAGACCTAGCTTTCCAGGAGGCCCAAGCACTGTGGTGGCAGAAGAACTGAGTCCGAGAAACGGAGCCCTGGCTGAGCATGTGGAGGCCGCCCTGGCTGAGCCTGTGGAGGGCGCCCGGGTGAGGTGAAGACTTGCAGGCTTCTTCACCAGGACAACCACCTGTATCGGGTCTCACTGAGACTCTGCCTGTGAAAGCTCTCATTTCGGGGTCTGGGAGCAAGAGTGCTTAGGAAACTCGACTATTCTCTGCCTTTCCGGGAGAGTGGCGAGGAATCCTCCAGACAGGAAAGGAGAGTGGAGCCCAGCCAGATCTTTCCACCTCCCACTTGCCCCCCACCCTGCGCCATCCTTCCCCACCACCGACATGGAGGGTAATAACTGTATTTTTCCCATCACGACTAGCAGGCCATTTCCTCTGCCCTTTCCTTGCAAGACCTCCTAGGATTAACTGGCCTCCGACCATCCAGGGGGTGAGTTAATCATGCCCTGAGAATGGACCAGATACTTTTGGGGGGGTTTGGGGAGTATAGGGCAAAACCAGGCTGGGTGTGGGGTGCCAGGACAAGAGGGAAGACCCAGGTGTCTTGGGGAAGACCCAGATCACCAGGACCTCTGCCCTGAACACGCCACGCAGCTTCCCACGGCAGCCTCCCACGGTTATCACTCTTGGTTCTGTTTGTCTCACTACCTGTGAATTTTACCTTTCCCCCCACCCCGAACCCCTGGACTGTGAGCCCCATCTGCCGGGGCCACATCTGTTTTCTCCTAGAGCCCACGCCTGGTAGGCAGTAGGCACTCAACTATTACGAGGTTTTCCAGGTAAAGAAACTGAAAAGAGAGAAGAGGAAAAAAAGTAAAAAGGAAAACCCATCAGCTTCCTAGAAATTAAACAGAACAATGACACAGAAAAATAATAATTAAAAAAAAAAGAAACTGAGTCTCAGAAAGGCAGGCACACAGTTGGTAAGTACTGGGGTTTGAATCCAGATGGGTCTCACTCCAAAGCCGGTACAGTCACCCTTCGACATCCGTGGGGGATTGGTTTCAGCACCCCACATGAATACCAAAACCCTTGGACGCTCAAGTCCCTTATGTGAAAGGGGACAGTACTTGCATATGATCTGTATTTGCATGTAGGCTACAGCAGAGCACGCCTATGCAAGACTTCATTCACGTGAGTTCAGCATAGTGCTTGACACATGGCAGATTCAAGTTCTGCTTTTGGAGCCTTCTAGGGTTCATATTTCCAAGTGACTTTCAGTCCATGGGTGGTAGAATCCATGGACGTGAAACCCGTGGATACGAAGGGCCGACTGTATCTTTACTTGCCCGCTGGCCACGGTGCCAGGGACGGGGCAGGGACACTCACCCTGGCCGAGCTGACGGTGGTGGAGGTGCCGTGGCTGCCTGTGGATGAGCCCGTGTCACTGTAGGAGACCATGGAATACGTGTCACCGGTCCCAGGGCCAGGAGGCTGCCGTGCCTTCATCGACTCGATCTCCCGCTTCAGCACCAGGTGATCAAAGCGGCCCAGGTCTTGGGGGGCAATGGTGCCTCTCACCTCAGAGAGCAGTGAGAACTAGAGGCAGGGACAAGTACGGCACTCAGCAGGGAGCCCCACCAGCAGCTGGGACAGCCCTCTCCTACCCCAAATGACCTGCATGCAAACTTAACCACTGGCCTCCCTCCTTAACCCTCAGTGGCTCCCCACTGCCCTCAGGAGAAGTCCAAACACCCTGGCCTGGATGCTGGGTCAGCAGCACCTGACTCCGCCTCCCTGGCATCTTAGCATGAATGACTGCAATCACCCCGGAGCCCCTTTCCCCTACTTCTTTCCATATCGCATTTCCTCTGTGACATTTTCCCAAATGTAACAGCTCCCACTAGGTTCTCTCACTTTTTCCTTTGTGTGGGGCACTACAGCAGCCACCTAGAGGCTTGTGAAAACTGCTGGTGGCCTATGCCATCCACAGATGTGCAGAGTGAACCGGGCCAGCGTGGGGCCCAGGTACTGCTTTTTAAGAGCAATCCCGATGATTCTCATTGTGCACTCAGCACTGAAAGCCACTGTGTCAGTCAGGGCCCCGATCACAGGACACTTGAACCGACTGTCTCCCCAGGACTCTGTGGGCTTCCCCGGGGCAGAGGGCTGTTTGGGTCACCATCTTTGCTCAGGTTCAGTTTAGACCAGATTCCTTGTGGATTCCTGGTAAAGAAGTAGGGACACAGGGGAGCAAGGAGGGATGCAGAGCCCTTGAGAGCTGCGGCCAGGCCTCACCAGCACCCCCCAGCCTGTCTCTTGCCCAGGGAGGGGTGCTGGTCACCTTGGCATGGGTGTTGAGAAGTTCGAACAGGGCCATGACGAGGGCGTCCACGGAGACACTGCCGCCGCGGTACTCCTCCAGGTAGTAGGCCATGGTGGCGCGCTCCTGCTCATTCAGCATGTGCCGCGCCTGCTCCTCCAGCAGCACACGGGTCTGGTTCCCCAGGCTGCTCAGAGTCACCTGGGAGCCGGCCGGCCCCTTGTAAAACCCCAGCTGAAAGACAGGAGACAGAGCTGCTCTGCGGCCCAGGGGCCAGGCCACACCAGTGCCCACACGGCTACGGGAGGAGGCCCTCTCAGCCCTCCCGGCAAACCTGCAGGCCACGTTCCCAGTACGTTCTGAGTGTAAGTGGCCTCGTGCAGTTGCAGAGTTTCACGGCTTACGTGGCACTTTAATGTGTGTGACTTCCTCAGATCCTCGTGACCATTCAGAGAGAAGCCTTGTCATTAGGGTTCTCATTTTATTCTCTAGGTTTCAATACCTCCCTTGGTAAACTGGGGATAATAGTAACTTGATTTCCAAAACATAGCTGCACCCCCTCCCACCACTTTCTCTACTGTCATGAGCTGTGTCCCAGATGCCCTGGGCCTGGTCTCTCCTTGTCACCTACCTACACTCGGCTGCTGAAATGACCTCAGGAAAACACAGATCTCCTCCTTTTGCTCCCTGGGTAAGCTCTTCGAGGGCATCCCATCGTTTTAGGTGAGAAACCAAGCCTCTCACGTGGCCCGCAATAGCCGGTGGGTATCCGTCCATCCCACTTGCTGCCATCCTGGTCCCAATAACCCCTGGCTCACCTCGCTCCCTCACTCTCCCTTCCTCCAACAAGCCCCGCCCTCAGCCTGCCCCGCCCCCTCCGGCACAGCCCCCTCCCACTCCAGACTTCTGTCTAACATGGGGTTCACCGCCCAAACACCATGACACTGCTCCAGACAGCCTTCGCCCCATTTTCTAAATGAGGCATCTCATGATGCTGAGCATCTCGTCTTCACGGCGGTGAACGACTTTGGTGATTAGACATGTGTGTAGTTTACTTTGTTCTATGTGTGTCTCCTTCACTGGGGGTGACCTCCGCGAGGGCAGGGACCTGATCTGGTCTGTTCACTGCCGTTGGCCCCAGTGTCGGGGATGGCATCGGGTGGTGCCCACAACCTGGTGGCACTCACAGACATGTGTGGGATGGGAGACGGACAGACAGACAATCAGCAGGCTTCCCAAATGAATGAGATCATGTATGTGGGTCATTTGCACACATGCCAGGTCCGGAGCTCCCCCCAAGGCGGCTAAGAAGCAGCCGAGGATGCCTGCGGATGGAGAGCACCCTACCTTGCCTGTCCCGTCCACGGCGAGATCCCCAGGAAACCTATCGGGAAAGACAAGCCTGTTCAGCTGCACGTGTGCGCAGTTCAGATGAGCACGGGCAGGGAAAGGGTTGATGTGCAGCAGGAGGAGCAAAGCTCTGAGAGAACCATGGCCTCCACTCGCTGGGGCTACTCAAGGGCAGGTGAACCCCTGGACAGATGGGCGGCTCATGGACTCCCAGTCAACCTACGCGGACAGCAGTTCTAAAACAGGGCACGGCAGGTTCCTGAGTTGTTTCCAACCCTCCAGGGGCGAGACCTGTGGCCTCGGAGTCAGGTCAGTCCTAGGAAGGGGGGCACCGTGGACAGGAGCACTGAAGACAGAGCTCTCAGGTGCAGCTAGGTGTTCAGCACGTTTTCATGGAAAAAAATTTTTAAATGGGCTCGAGGTGCCAGATTTCCTGATTTTTAAGAAGCAGCCAGAGGTCCAGTTTTTTTTGTTTGTTTGTTTTTTAGTGGGAAAGCTGGGATCTTTTAACATGTTGGCAACTAATTTAAAACATTTGTGACACTGTGTAGGTTAGAAAGGAGAGAAGGAAGAGAGAGACGCTCTGGGGTGTACTTGACCTGGGAGGGGCACCACCCTGTCTGAGGCTTCTGATGGAAACCCAAAGGTGAGCCCTGGCCAGGTAGCTCCTTTGGTTGAAGTGGCTGCAAGTCCGATCCCTGGTCAGGACACGCACCAAAGTTGCCTGTTTGATCCCTGGTCAGGGAGCACAAGGGAGGCAACCAATCGATGTTTCTCTCTCTCTCCCTCCGCCCCTTCCTCTTGTTCTAAAATCAGTGAGTGTATCCTTGGGTGAGAATTGGAAAAAAAAAAAGGTATCCAAAAGTGACACATTACAATATTAGCAACTAAGTCTCATCGTGAGACTTCCAAAACCCTTTCCTCTAGGTGACTGATGAGATTCCCATTCACAGATCAGGGACAGGAGCAGGGTTTAGGACTCACTTTTCGGACAAAGCAACCAAGGGCACCGAAATAAGTTAAGTGACTTGCCAGAGGCAAATAAAGAACAAGAGAGCTGGACCACGAGGGTCAGCTTTCCACCGGAAACGGGTGCCAGGAGAGAAGGGACAGGCCCAAGGTCATGCACAGAAACGAAAGGGACCCTGGTGCTGGGACCCTAGGCTCTGGGAACTGGTGCCATCCTGACAGATCAGCGTGGCGAAGGGATGGGAGGGGGACACAGTGGCTTTCACAAACAGCCCGGGGGTCCTGAGGCTCAGAGCAGGTAGTGTGACCTGACCCTGCTGAGTTCATGGCGGGGTCCCCAATCCGGGAACTGGCAATCCACTTGGTCTCGTCCACGGTGGTGCGGGCATGGGGCAGCCTCCCGATGTCCTTCACGGTCAGGATGAGGTGCTGGGATGACTTGAGCAGCTTGACCGCCTCATCGTGCAGGATGTTGAGAAAGCTCCGCCCGTTCACCTCCAGAATCTGGTCCCCAACCTGTCGAGACCACAACACAACAACAGTCACCTGGGCTGTTTGCAGGACACTGACTTGTGCCAGGGGCTTCAGAGCCCTGATCCCAGTTCTCCCGGCCGGCCTGCTGCGGAGGTCACCGACGCTCGGAGAGGTTATGCAGATGCCTGAGGTTATGCTTAGCTCCCATCCCTGGAAAGGGCCACCTCCTCTTTGACCCAGCAATGGTTTGAGGGCTGGGTCTACAACCAGGTCCCCAAGGGTCCCCTGTTCCAGAAAACAAGTCATCTCAGAGGCCAGAGGCCAGGGTAGGGGCAGACCTGGGGCAGAACGAAGCAAAAGGCACGAAGGCATATTTCCATTTTCTCTATTGTTGAGATTTTTACTTCAAGCATGCATCCTTACATCACCGGTACCTTAAGATCCAAACACCACTTTAATTTACTCAAGAAAACAAGCTGTAAATGAGAAAAGCAGCCTCCCGTTAAAGCAATAACATACTGTTTGAACTCTTACAACAAGCCGGGAGTTCTATTTTGTAATGTAAAAACTCATTTTTAATGAAAGGATACAAAATGGAAAAAAACCCTAGCCTTCCAATACAAATAAACTTGCGACCTAAGGAGTGGAGGCTGCTGGGAAGAAGCTGCAGTGGGAGGTGGGTGCGTATGAAAGACCTGTGCGTGCGGCTCCTTTAAACCCGGAGGGCTGTCGCAGGTGGGGGTGCTGCACTCCATGCCAGGGAGCGGCTGCCCAGGGTCACCCCCACTGTGGTCTCGAAGAGCAGCCTCAGAACACCAGCTATTCATGGGTGCTTTCCCTTCTCCCCAGCTTCCCAGCCTGCTGATGGCATGTGATCAACCCCAGGGGGATTTTCCAGCATTTTTCAAAGCCAGATTTAGAAAAGGCGAGTGAAGTGGAGATTTGGAAGAAAGAGAAGAGAAAAGATGTGACGACGAAGGCTGAGGACTGAAACCCTGGGCCCCGGTTTCCTGTCTTCCCTTAACACCCCTGCTGCAGCTGGGAGTCTCCAGGAGAGACTGGGCACAAACTCGGAGTCCGTCAGCCTCTCCACACTGCACCCCCAGGGCCCGTCTCACAGTGGGAGTTCAGTAAGAGGACTCAATAAGAATCCACCAGATGAATAAGAAATCTGACACCCATCCCCCTCCATTCTTAGCTCTGGGGCCACGTCTGTGCAGGCCTCGGGGGACTAGTCTATTACACTGGCCTGGAGCCCCAAATTTTAAACCGCTTTTTACAGCCAGGCGCTGCGTGCCAGGCACCTGCTCCGTCCCTTTACACATTTTTTCTTATATAATCTCCTCAACATCCCGAAGGGTAGGTCCCATTGCTCTGCATCTCACAGGGGAGAAAACGGAGGCCCGGGGAGGTTCAGTGAACAGTGTGTGGTCCTGGAGCTACTGGAGAGGACGGTGGAACGCAGACCCAGGTCGGGCTGGTCCCAAGGCCCTAACGCTCTCTTCTGCAGAGAAAGGGGAATCCTTTCCTCCTGGGGACACATGCGTCCCTTCAAATCCAGCATGTCCAGCCACCGACCTGTCAGCACTCCCCAGCCCTGCCCACTGAGCCCAGGTCTGAACACCCACCTCCATGATCCAGTCGGCCTTTCCCCCACCCGGTGGATCCTTCAGAAAGTCCCGCCCAATCTTCACCTTCCCCCACCCTTCTGTCCACCTAGCCTGGGTCCCTGTCCCCTCACACCTGGGGTCCTCAGCCAGCATCCCTCCTGCAGCCATCGACATCCAAACTGGCCTCAGGCCTCACGGCACGTTCATTTTTCCTCCACTTTTTACTCCCACGCCATCCCTCCTTGAGTAAAAATCTCCAACCACCCACCAGATCCAGGGGGCAGCAAAGCATTATGGTTAAGGGTTTCAAAGACCAACGGGCCAGGGTTCAAATCATGACTCCACTACTTCCATGTCATGTGAACTCAGGTGAACCCTCTGTAGCTTTTGTGCCTCAGTTTCCTTGCGTGTAAAAAGGGGGTGCCAGCCCGGGATTGTCCTCCAATTCCCTACAGAAATCAGCAACTGCTTCCCCTGCCGCCAGTGATATCACCATTCTCTCCTTCTGTCTCACTGAGGTCCCTGAGAACGGGGCAGCCCCAGCTGGACTCCTTGGAAAAGGCTGGGCACACAGCAAGTGCTCAAGAAGTGCTTATGCACGGAGGTACGGATCTGGCCGCCTCCCATTCGCCATGGCAACCTGCTCCCAGCTTCTCTCTCCCCTGGCCACCAGCTGCACCTTCCCTCCTTCCTGAGCAGCAGAGGCTCCACCTGTCCCCCGTGTCCAGCTGCCCCCCACAACCAAGCCCAGGCCGCAGTCTTCACCTGCAGAAGTGCTCTGTGTTCCTGAGTATCCCTCTCGATCGCTTTGGCTGTTACGGAGTGAAGGGAATCCCCTCTACTCTTCCCCACACACGTGATTTCATCCCGCAGTTTAACGACAGGAAGTAGCATCTGAGAGGCAGGGAAGCCTTTGGTGTGCAAGCCTCGCCCTGCAGGTCCAGGCCCAGGACAGGGTGGGTGGCAGTGGGACAAAGGAAAGGACGATTCAATTCCATCTACCCTGACCCTCCACAGCGAGGCTGGGGAAAGGGTCGGGGGCAGTGTCCCAAATACTTTATGGGACATATGGACGCTAAAAAAAGTATTTGTTGTTTATCTGGAGCTCAAATGTAAACAGGCACCCTGCATTTTTATTAGCTGAATCTGGCAGTGCTGGGGTGGAGGTGTCAGTAACTGCTGGGCCAACGGTTCTTGGGGTAGGGGCTGATTCTGTGCTGTGGTTACCAACCTTCAGTCACTGTCCCTCGCCCTGAGCCTGGCGCCTGTCACATAGGCAGTCCTCGGATGCCCAGCACACCACTTACTTCTGCCTCGTCCTAGGCATTAGTATCTGTGATTAGGTTCTAAATCACAGGCTTGCTGTGTTAGTCACATTTCTCCCTCATGCCTGTTAAATAAACATAGACTCGGGAGAGGCAGCATGGAGGTCACGTGTGACCCATCCAGGGGACAGGCACAAAATAGGAGTCACACTAGGGAAACCCCAAATGAATGGGGGGCTACGTGAGCCCATCTTCTCCATCTCTTTCCAGCCCTCTCCTGTCTTTCTTCTTGCTCCAGGGCCCGTTTTAGAAGTGCAGTTGCAGACGGGGCCGGCCTTGGGGGCCCCGCTCAGCCCTCTGCAGCGTCTGGGTTGGTCTGAGTTGCTCCCGTTTGTCTGCGTCCGGTTCTCTCAGAGTCTCTAACTTGTTGGAAAGCTCCCCGAGGTCTGGGAGTCTTGTCAGAACAGCTGTCTGCTCACTCACAGTCATTCAGAGCCCACAAACCGGTTTCAAATGAACCCAGTGCCCCTGCTGCTCACAGCAGCCCTGTGGGGCCAGCGGGCTATGAAGTCTCAGCCCTACGGTGCAACAGAAAGACGCCCCAAGTTCTGAAACCAGGCAACCGAACACAGCAGCCGTGTGGTCCTGCACTGCTCTCAAGTGGAGCCCGCGCCTCAATGTTCCCATCTGTCAAGTGGGCGTGACCCCACCAGCAGTCCGGGGTGGCTGTGAGAATCAAATGGACCGCTTGGCACAGAGGATGACACCATGGGAGAGACTCTTGCAATAGCAATTCACTTTCCTTCCAAAGGGAGGGGGCAGGCTGAGATGTCAACTGATCTGCGCAAGGTCACTGGTCACGCAGGAAGCGGGCAATGAGCCAGCATCTGAGCCCAGCTTTCCACATCCTCCCTACTGCTCTCTGCCACCCTCCTCCCAGCCTGTGCCTGGCGTGCAGGAGGCTTTGGAAACTGGTGAAGGGACAGGAAAAAGATGGTCCTTCCTCCTTTGCAGTCTCACTTCTATCCGCTTCCCCTTTTCCTTTGGTTTGTGCCATGTGAACTTAGATGTGGCATGTTTATAGATCTTAACCTGACCCCTGCTCCTCCCCAAAGAACTGAAAGCTCTATGCATTGATTCACTGAAATGTTATGCTTCCTCACCCACTGAAGCCAGCTTTGAGTCAGACAATGTGGGTCAACAAGGCAAAAAGGGAAGAGGCACAGATGCTGCGCCTGCCAGGCCTGCCGGTGGGGAGACCGAGGCCCAGGAAGCACAGGGACGGGTCTGGGGCTGAAGAAAACACTCCTGTCGCCCCGAACTCCTGGGGACACGACCCCCTGGAGAAAGGAAGACAGGTGCAAAGAGTGATCGAGTGTCCAATAACGCTCAGCCTGCCATCGGGGCGCCGATGGGGAGGACACGGAAGGATAAACGAATAAAGGTGGCTTTATTTCATTTGTCGCCAGGCATCCTATTTATCACCAGTGATGGAGGGACGGAGGCGGACCATGGGAATGCCCTTCATTTTAGACAGAGAAGAGACTCCTCCATCATCCACCGCCTGTCGAGTGACAGGCTCAGATTCGGGACCCTCTGAGGAGAGCATGTTGGGACTTTGACAAGGACAGGACACCAATGTGCCCTGAAACTGGCTGACCACGAGAGGCAGGCACCCACGTGCTCGGGGCCGAGGTGCAGGGGAGCAGCGAGGAGGCCTGTGAAGCAGTGGGAAGTGCTCAGTAGGCTTGGAGTGAGCCCCCCGCCCCATCCCACCCAGACCCAGGGAAACTAATGTTACCACTGTAAACCTTCCTTCCCTCCAAACACGGCGATGAGACCACTAGTGGTGACAGAGAGAAGCGAGAGGCCATCCAGGGTGTGCTCATGAGCACAGACCCAGGAGTATGCCCTCTGGGTCCAAACCCGGACTCTGCCATGTTCTAGCTGTGTGGCCTTGGATAATTTCCTTAACCCCTCTGTGCCTCAGTTACCTTCTCTGGAAAATGGGGACAGAATCAGTGGCTACCTCATAGGTTTCAGGATTAGAGGAGTTAGTAAACTCTCCACTGTGCCCCCAGTACCCAAAACAGCACCTGGCACACAGTAGGTACTCAACTAATGTTTATTGAATGGGCCACCTATAAAACAAATAAAACAGTATCTA